TGTTGTATGTTGATTATCGTATTCGTACTAGGTGTTATATTATGAATATATAAAGTCTTGGACGAATAGGCCCCAAAGGTACCAGCCACATATATATATATATATGTATATATATATATTTGCATATGTGCATATAAGTCACGACACCACCTAGGCAGTCTGAGCCATGCTGCCGGATTGTGCGCCACAGCCTTGAGGATGTCCTGAGGCAATGATAAGGGTTCTTGTAGTTTGTAGGTCCATTCTCAAACTTAAGTAGGGTTTAGGGTTTAGGGTTAAGGGTCCAAGTACCCAATATTTAGGTACTTGGGGTTTGGGTAATACTAATTATAGTACAGGTTTTGGGAAAGTATATGATTATTAGGTACTTGGACCCTTAGGGTGAGGGGACCCCTTATTTTGGAGACTCCCCATGTTGAAGTGTCAGACGCTGCTGGGTACTAATTGCAATACGCATGGCGCCTTCCGAAACTTAAACTTACATTCGGAAGGCCGCAAAAACAGCTCAATACCGTCCGCATAGAATAACGCCCCTCCCCCCCACCCACAAAGCACAACTTTAACGCACGCAGGGCACAACCACCGGCCCAGGCTGCTACATCTTCAGCCTTGAACGCTTAGGGCTTGGGGGCTCAGCGGTTGCGAATATGTGTATCTAATATTTTTCCTGGTTTGCTGTTAAGGAACTTAAATTAAGTTACCATATTGGGGAAACCCTATTATTTACTATATATACCCATTATGTTGACTTAATTTAAGTTCCTTAACAGCAACCCAGTTTCCCTCCCGCTCGGCGCTTGGCGGTGACGCATGCAGGGAAAACTGGATCCAAAAGCAAGCAGGCTCATCCCGAGCTTAAACATGTCGAAAACCGAAACTAATTGCAATGGAACAGGCACCCCACAGAATGTACAGTTGCCCTTAAGTAGATAGAATATGGCTTTAGGTATAGCATAACAGGATCCCCATATACTCCATATTCTATCTACGTGACTGGGACTCAGGCAACAGCATGAAAGTCAGGAGCTGTAGGAGGCAATCCTGTGGGGGCTGTCAACTATAAGGCCAGAATACTTAAAGGCATTGCTACTCAGCCTATTTAGGGTTTAGGGTTTAGGGTATATATTAGGTGGACCCCCCCACCCAGTAATAGTGACTATAGGGTAGAATAGGGATTATATTCGGGTCCTCTTATATTCCAATTATACCACTATTACAGGGCGGGGGGTCCTTCTAAGGTATATAGTATAGATCTGCATCTGCTCCCAAACCCGTTTCAAAACATTACATCCCGAACCCAAGTGCTGCAAAGCAACCACGGCGCCCTCGCGGGGGATGAAATTATGTGACAGATGAAGCCTTGGCTCTACTTGGAGGCCCATGGGACTTAGTAACCTTATAATTAGGGCAACTCCATTTAGGGGGATGATAAGTAGGGTTATAAGCCCAATTATAAGTAGTTACTAAGTCCCATGGGCCTCCAAGTAGGGTGCTTTGTAGGGAGTGGAGGCAATGGGTCGTGTGGACCGTTGTTGAGGGTTTGGAAAAGAAAGTGGAAGCTGTCACAATCATTCTTCAGGGTTCAGGGCTTAAGGGAAAGGTTTGGAAGAGAATGGGGCAAAGGGTTGCATGTACTGTTGCTGACAACTATACAGAAAGGGACCACCCGGACCGACTGACTCTTTCTCTGCAAAAAACGAAGTAGCTCAAGTAGGATTGCACTCCCGCTTGAGGACTTCAGTCAAAGGTTGAAACCATGGGCCCCTAATATGGGCCCTGAACCCTGGGATCCTTATATACCTACTATATACCATATATGTACCCTTAAGGGCCCCTAGAACTTCCCTACAAAGCCTGAGGGCCTATATTAAGGGGCCCATACTTAAAACCTTAGATTCATGGGCCTTGTTCCTAAACCCAACCACTAAACCCTAACCCCTAATCCCTTAACTCACAAGCAACCTGGCATCTACTCCAGGCAGAAACAAGAATCTTTCTGTGTACTCAGCTGTTGTCGTTGTATCAGGAACACATTCCCAAAAAGAGTATAAAGAATTCTCAACACAAACCCGAACATTGATGGAACCTGGAAGGGCGCCTTTGAATAGGGCTGTTGTCTACAAGGCGCAGAAGGTTCATTTATTTTGGCTGTGGGGACTGCTGGCTTATCGGTTCAACTGCCAGGAAATGCGGGTTAGGGCATCTGAAGATTCCGTGGGCACAGCAAGCCTCGACATACAACCCCAGGAGGTTGAGGGTTTGGAGTGTAGACCCTAAACCCTAAACCGGTCCGGCTATAGCACTTACAACCCTGCCTTTTCATCCAACGATGGTTATCAAGAACCTCCCAACCTGAAATTGAATGCCACTCGCTCATGTTTACGTATGATTGGCCCCACGAACATGAACAACAGCTGTCATTGTTTCTGAAACCGCCGCCACCCCTGCTCCTGCCCACGACCCCCTTGGAAGCCACCTCCGTCGCCATCGCCACCACCCCGCGCCACGAGCATCGATACCTCGAATCTAATTAACGCTGCCGACGCAGCCTCCAGCACAGCACCACTACATACCACTACTCCTGCCACTGCCGGCTAGACTCTCTCTCCTATCTCTCTATGTCCCAGAAGCCCTAACGTAAAACAAACAAACACAGCCCAAGTTGCTCCTGCGCAGGAACAGGCGTGTTCACGAGCCAGTCCTGTGACCAACACATCCACCCTAAACCCTAAACTCTAATTGGGATGGTGTACAGATGTGAGGCGCTGAGGACAGCAGTATTGCAGCCATTGCTAAAGATCTAAGAGGTACCTAGACGTCCCACACACCCAAACTGATAGCATGCGTAAGCATTGTTCCGGGGCGAAAGGCGACTGTTACACGCACCTGGGGCGCCCAGGTATCTGCCCAGGCTAAGGTGGATGGCGCGAGGTATCCCAAGCATCCCTGATGCTTGAAAAATGCCGTGCTTCGCAGGCAATGCTGCCGTTGAAGCTAAATCCTGCATGTCTCCAAGTACCTCGTACTTATACCCTGGGAAGTAAGGTTTTCTGGTAAAGGGAGGTCATGCAGGATTTGCAGTGTCAACAATATGTACTACTCGTCCTAAACCCCCTAGCAAAACAACGCTGCCCGGATGAATCAGGCAAATATCCCCAGCTCCTGAAGGTAGGTGTCCAGGGGGGTAGATACATGTAACCCCTGAGGTTCCCGACTACATCCCCAAACACACCTTGTTAAAAAAAAGGTTCCAGTGTTGGGGAATATTTGCCTTGTAATCCCCGCAGCAGTCCTGTAGAATCGCTATACATGCCAGAACTTCGCTTTACACCCCTCACTGCTTTCCAAAGTTTTCATTGTAGACGCAGAAAGTTCGGACATGAACATGCAGTCGTCTAAACTGGACACGGGGCTGGGATATACTGATGCTGTGACTTGCTCGCTGAGAACATAAAAGGACTATACTTTTCTGGCCGGCGGACCATCATCGAACTGGCGAAGGCGCGGCCCAGCTGATTTTTGAAGAGCTTGATGATCCGCACTGCCTGCTTTGTGCTTACGGCTTGAGGTGTAGAAGTTTGGGTTCAGGCTTTTGGATTTAGGCGCATTTGGCCTGCATGGTGCTTAACTTTTGGGTTTAAGTTAGTGAAGTTGTTGGTCTCTTTGTCTGTTCCCTACATATCCCCGTATAAGCTCCATAGGGTGTAGCGTGCTTCTGCTTCCATGTTTCGGGCTAAACAGCTTCTTAACTATGTGGCTGATTGGATCGAGGGGGGGTTAGTCGCAACCTGGTCATATTTGTACTCCTAGCGTCATAACCCGATTAGGACTTATTACCATACTTGGGGGACTAGTGGGACTTACATGTCAGTTGAAACTGCCCGTATATGTAGGTTAGAATCGTCCCAGCAGTTTTGAGGACTGGCTCAGGCTGTCAGTGCCTCTTACTAGCACAAAAAAACAAGGCAGGAAAAAACAAAGCTTCATTATCGCCACGGCACCAGCTGATGATAGTACAGAACCTGAGTGTCAAATTTCCAGAAGTAAAATCAGCGCATGACCTACCCAGACCCCCAAAAGGATCTAAAAATTAGATCCCCAAGAAACATAGGGGGAATTTTTTTAAGGATTATATAGGGGTTATACTGGGTCTATATAGGGGATCTAATTTCAGATCCCCCCAGGGGTCTGGGTAGCTCTTGGGGGTCCTGCCCATCACATGACTCCCGTCTTTACCCGAGGAATCGCAGATACTCGACTGAAGGGGTTAGACTCAGAAGAATTAGCACCTGAGGCGGATGCCAATGCTGGGATTTTTTTGTGACATGTGAAGCCAACATGGATTCCTATCTATATTCACACATAGCACATGCCGCAACCCAGTCCAGGGTGAAGAGGGCCCCTCGCACATAGATAGCCTCCAGAACATACCTGTCATATCTTACATCTAGATCTGAAGTTGCGCAGCCAGACCTGCAGGATGTAGCTAGCTCCTGAAACACACTAGTATCCAGCACCTACTATTACACAGAAATCTATATCTAGGTTTGTAAACAGATTCCGGACATTGGCCATGCTTCATGTACGTGTACCTAAGGAAGGGTTCATAGGATTTTTGACATGAGCTACAGTCTAAACTCCTAGTATCCCTCATACTAA